CAATTCAGAACTCATTTTGCAGTTTTGTTTCATATTTGTATCATTCGACGGGCGGAAGTGGTGTAGTGACAAGTGGCGCGCTTACCACGCGAGCGGTCCGGGGATCAAATCCTGGGTCGTGAGTCGCCCGGGCCAACCAAGCCTTCCATCCCTCCGGGGTCGGTTAATTGGTACCAGACTTGTCTGGGAGGATAAAAACACTGACTTGTACATCGGCTGGCCCCCGCAAGTCATTGTATAGGCCACATCGCATTCAAACGCCACTACGAATGTACAAATGGAAGTAGAATGCGTGCCGCATCCCAAAAAGGGATTGATCAACGGCAAATGCTTTATCCTTTATCCTTTTACGAAATGGCTGCAAGCAAGAAATATAGGGCAATTGACCTTTCGAGGATCGAAGAAAATCCCAGCTAGATGATTTTTCACAAAAAAGGGGTACTTGACAAGAGGCTCGTCGCGCGGCAGGAAGACACCGTCACGAGTCGCAGCGCGTACTGCAGTGATTTCGCGTCAAGTTGAATAGAATGTACCATAGTACGTCCCACATCACACAGCACGCGCTGCGACTCGTCCGCTGACCCGTCTGCGTCTCTGCCTTCTTGCCGCGCGACGGGCCTCCTGTCGGGTACTCCAGGGGAGGTTCTCGAAACAGCTTAAGTTGCATTGTTTCACTGAACCTGAAGAAAGTTATGGCCACCGCAGAAGCGCGAATTTCTCTGCAATTGATTTTTTCATTTCAAGCTGGGTTTTGCAACTGTGAAGCCTACATGTTCTGAGAATCGCAAAAAGGTTTTACATGGCAGTTTTGGAGTCAGCCTATCGTGCGCCAACTTTAACCAATGGGGTCGTACATGAGATTTTAGGAGCAAGCTGCATTTCCGATTTTTGTGTGTTTCTGGACTTGAGAGGGGGGGGGCGTCTGTGAGGTTGTTGGAGCAGGTCATCGCGATGAATATTGGTGGAGGAGGGGGAGAGGGTGGCACGAGCACTGGAGCGCGCACAATTGATGATTCACCCATGTTTGTGCATGATAAACTGAGGTCATATTGAGGAACACCTCCGGACGTAGGTGAGGTAGTGTAGCCCCCAAAAAAAACCCTCTAAGCAACCCCTTACCCTCATAGCAGGGCCAATCATGAACTTGTTAGTGCTCAAACCCCATTAACGAAACAAATCAGAGTAAGCCGTTGAAACTATCGAATGTATCGTAACTTCCTATGATTAAAGAACCTTCAGGAAGTTCTTGCTTTCTCTCCCAACATGAATTTGTCACTTGTGATCACTAGAAACAACATTCAAAGTTTCACCACCGAGGTTCAGTTTCCGAAGGGAACCAAACTTTCGACAACTACACTCTTTGGGCAGTCAAAGGTAGGTT